TGCTACCCCTGGGCATGGCTCATTCTCACCGCCAGGTGGTAGGTGGGCCCTTCTCATCCTGATGGGCATTTAAGTGAGGATCCTGTTCAATGTTTCCATGTGCTCAGGTGGGAGAGTAAACAATGGAAGTAGGCAATTATCTTTAAATATATTTAAGAAGAGGTGTTTTTTTTTTTTTCACCCAGTTTAAACAGAAAGGTCTTCAGATACACAGCTAGGGCTACACTATCAGTTTTCCAAGAAAAAAAATTATTTGTCCATAAGCCCACATTCTTTTCTTCTGTGACTCATTCAGCCAACCATGGTTGAGCAGCTCACTTGGGTCAGGCACTGTGCTGGGTGCTGGGGAATGGCGGGGGGTGCGGGGGCAAGTCCTAGAGGTCTATAGAGTCTGCAGAGCCAGGATGCCTTTGTGTAGGTGGCAGAATATCCATCTGGTTGCCTAGGCAACTCCAACCAGGAAAATGAATGAGCCCATCACATCCTGTCCCCCCCGTTTCTAGTTTTCCTAAAATCCAAGCTGCTCCATGGAAACAGACCCCCCCCCCCCACCCCAAGTGTCGCAACTGTTAGGACCCACCTGCTCTCTGGGCACAGAGGACCCACCCTGCCGGGGGCGCTAGACTCCGCCTGCCAGCTACTCCAAGTGAGCCACTGAGTCCGTCTAGCTGGAGGTCCGTATTCAGTAGGTGGAGGGCTTTTCACCCTCTGCTTATTTATTCTTGACTGTGCTGGGTTTCATTGCTCTGCGGGCTTTTCTCTAGTTGCAGTGAGCGTGGGCTGCTCTCTAGTTGTAACGTGCGGGCTTCTGGTTTCGGTGGCTTCACTTGTCTCAGAGCGTGAGCTCTAGGGCACACTTGGGCTTCAGCAAGTTGCAGTTCCCAGGCTCTAGAGCTCCGGCTTGGTAGTTGTGGCACACAGGCTCAGATGCTTCATGGTAAGTGGGATCTTCCTGGATCAGGGATCGAACCCGTGTCTCCTGCATTGGCAGGGGGCTTCTTTACCACTGAGCCACCAGGGAAGCCCTCATGCTTTGCTTTTGAGAGTCCGCTCTTTCCAGCCCTGTAGGGGGCACCAAGGATGAGTTAGTAACTCAGACTGACTTGGGCCTCCCCAGGGAAGACCCACAAGAGGAGAACCATAGGGCAGTAATGGAGGTGGGGGAGGAGCCGTGGGAGCCCAGGGGGCTCCTAACCTAACCTTGGGGGTACAAGAGAAGCCCCGCAGGCTGGGATGGGAGGAAGAAAGGAGGAGACAGGCTGCAGTGTTAATTTTTTTGCATCAGTTTGATTAGGCTAACAGATGCACAGATGGGCCTCCCTGGCGGCTCAGTCAGTAAAAACATCCACCTACAATGCGGGAGACTGCCTTCCAATGCAGGAGGCTTAGATTCGATCACTGGGTCCGGAATATCCCTGGAGAAGAAAATGGCAACCCACTCCAGTATTCTTGCCTGGAAAATCTCATGGACAGAGGAGCCTGGCGGGCTATAGTCCATGGGGTTGTAAGAGTTGGACACGACTTATTGACTAAGCCACCAACGGATGCCCAGATAGCAGGGAAAACATGTTTGGGGGTGTCTGTCAGGGTTTTTTGAAAAGATCAGCATTTCCATCAGTAGACTGAGAGAAGCAGAGATCCTCCCCAGCATGGGTGAGCATCACCCCCCACCCCAGGGCACCCAAATGGAACAAAAGAGCAGAGGAAGGGTGGGTTCACTTTCTCTCTGCTTGAGCTGAGATATCCGCTTTCTCCTGCCCTCGGACATCGCTCCTGGTTCTCGACCTTTCAAGCTCAGATCAGGTCTTAGTCCATCCATCCCCTCAATTTCAGGCCTCTGGACTCGGGTGAATCACACCAACGCCTTGCCTGGTCCTTCAGCTGGTGAACAGCAGTTCGTTTCAACCTCTGTAACTACATGAGCCAATCCCTGCAATAAATCTTCTCTTGTATACATCTCTGTATGTTTTAATGGTTCTGTTTCTCTGGAGACCCCCAGCTAATTCACAGGCCGGGAGGGAGGAAATGAGTTCCAGCTTGAGCAAGGGCCAGAGTCTGGTCTCTGCAAGATCTGAAAGGAATTCAGGGCAGGGATCAAAGCCATAGGGTGGCAGGGCAGGAGAAGGGGCGACAGAGGATGAGGTGGTTGGATGGCATCACCTACCCAACGGGCATGAGTTTGAGCAAGCTCCGGGAGTTGGTGATGGACAGGGAAGCCTAGTGTGCTGCAGTCCATGGGGTCACCAAGAGTCGAACGCAACTGAGTGACTGAACTGAGCTGTCTCTGGAAAGACAGAGAAGCAAAGGCAGAGCGTGAATCAGTTCTCAACCCGTCCCAGGGCCTGGAGCTCTCTCTTGGGTGGGGCGATGGCACACAGGGCCCTCCTGCTTGCTCGCCTTTTGCACCTTCCCAGTATTTCTAGCCACTGCTGGGGGTGGGGGAGCTGGGGAGGTTGAGGATGCGCTGTCACCTCCTGGACACCTGAGAGATCCCATGCTCAGCAAATGTGTGCGCACAATCCTCATCCTCTGTGTTTATTTATCAGGCTGTGTCAGACCCTGGTCCATTTGGTGGCCAGACGGTGGGCTCGTCCTCCCATGTAGCTGAGAGCAGGCTGATGGGCGGATGCTGTGGTCGAGGTTCAGGGCTGCAGACAGTGGCAGCTTTAATCCTATTTTGAAGCCAAGTCTGGAATTAAAGGATGCCTCTTTACTCAACTCACCCTCTTACCCAACCAGCCAGTGAGACATTGTGATGTCAGGAAACTTCACGAATGTCTGTTCATCTCAGATTTGATGGAGCAGCTGGAGGCCACAGGCTCAGGATGTAAACTTTTCACTTTATTTGAAGCCCTCTTTTGGTTCAGGTAGCTGCTCCAATGCCATGCTTCCACCTCCTTTAAAATGATGTTTACATCTCTGTTTTCCTTGGGGTATGCAGATGAATAATCCAAGATAGGGTAGTTTTCTAAAAAAAAAAAAACTAAGCTCATGGCATCCGGTCCCATCACTTCATGGCAGATAAATGTGTAAACAATGGAAACAGTGACAGATTTTATTTTCTTGGACTCCAAGATCACTGCAGATGGTGCCTGCAGCCATGAAATGAAAAGATACTTGCTCCTTGGAAGAAAAGCTATGACAAATCTAGACATCATATTAAAAAGCAGAGGCATCACTTTGTCAACAAAAGTCCATATAGTCAAAGCTATGATTTTTCCAGTGGTCACGTATGGATGTAAGAGTTGGACCCTAAAGAAGGCTGAGTGCTGAAGAATCGATGCTTTCAAATTGTGGTGCTGGAGAAGGCTCTTGAGAGTCCCTTGACCAGAAAGAAGATCAAACCAGCAAATCCTGAAGGACATCAACCCTGAATATTCATTGGAAGGATGGATGCTGAAGCTGAAGCTCTGATACTTTGGCCACCTGATGGGAAGATCTGACTCATTAGAAAAGACCCTGATGCTGGGAAAGATTGAAGGCAAAAGGAGAAGAGGGTGACAGGGGATGAGATGGTTGGATGGTATCACCAACTCTATGTACAGGAGTTTGGCAAACTCTGGGAGATAATGAAAGACAGGGAATCCTGGTGTGCTGTAGTCCATGGGGTTGCAAAGAGTCGGACACAACTGTGCAACTGAACATCAACAACAAAGGGTGGTTTTCATGTCCAGACACCAGTTTTCATTTGGGGTGAAGCTTCCACTGTGTAACTGCATGAAGTCCTGCTGAAGAAAATAATCAAAGGTGACACGAAAGCAACCTTCCTCCCCAAGGGATAAAGAACCCTTGGTTTGCCGTGGGGCTCGGGGAGAGGCTGAGGCTTCTCTGCCATCCCCTGCTTCCGAACTGCCATCTTCCCACTTCCTCCTGTCCAAAGACATCTCTCCCTGCTGACTGCAAGTGTCTGTCCTGTTTATTCTTCTGTTTAGAAGTCTGGGAAGACAGGAGGGAGTTGCAGAAATACCTGCAAACCATTGCTTCTGGGGTCTAATAATGGGAATCTGTCAGCATTCACTGCAAACCCCACTTGGACCCACTGGGATGAAAACTTTCCCAAGGATGGATTGAGAGATGCCCCCAGGGGCGGCTGTGCTCACTGGTGTTGATCAGACAGTCACCAATCTCTTTCCTGCCAGGATCCTCTCTCTCCACCTATGAGACCAAAATTCCCTCTTTCCCACCTTATCCCTCATGTTGCCCCAGATAGGGGTCGGGGGGCAGGTGGGCAAAGTGGGAGCTGACTGAGAAGATGGAGAGAAGCTTGGTCCTCTGGCTAGAAGTCTCTGCAGGCTTTGGAGCATCACCATCCAGTCACGGTGTTTTCTCTTTCTTTAAAGAATTTATTTGGCTGTGGCAAGTCTTGTTGTGGAATGCAGGACGTTGGATCCTTAGTTGTGGTCTGTGGGATCTAGTTCCCTGACCAGAGGTTCCCAAACCCGGGCCTGCTCTGTTGGGAGCACATCATCTTAGCCACTAGATCCCCAGGGAAGTCCCATGCCTTCTCTTTCTTTGAAAAGCTCCCATTCTGTGGGCATGGAGGGCCAAGGGTGGTTCTGGATGGCCCTGTGACCCCAAGGCCAGAGTCTGGGGATGTAGGACCCCAAGTCCAATAGGAAGAGGGAACTCGGCAGTGGCTGTGAATGCCCGGAAGGCCTCCAGGACCAGGCGAGGGGCGGGGGCAGGACAGGTGTCAAGCCCACGAGGGCAGCCTGCTCAGGCTTCCCGCAGTCTCCGGCTTCCCTTTGACTCCCAGTAAGCACGCGGGACACAGGCCCAAGAATAGACTCACAAGCAGCAGCAGGAAGGAAACTGCCAAGGGGTGACGACTGCGTCAGGAATTAGCCCTGAGCTTCCTGGTAAGGAAAGGGGAAAGCGAAAGACAAACAGAATGGTCTGCCGCCCTTGTTGTCTAATAAAAGAAAACATACCAGTTCTTTGGGGAACACTTTTTTTCTCCTTAGCAACAAATTCTTGGAAGAATTTGTGTTACAGAACACCCCAGGGGAACATTCTTGTGTTGTTAAGGAGGCCACCTAGTCTGAGAGGCTGTGGAAATTCCAGTTGCGCACGTGGGAGGTGGGCCAGGACAGGCCACCGTGACGGTCCAGCGGGCTCCAGGGACGGCGGTGCTGGGGGTGGGGGTGCTCGGAGGGTGTTCCCTTGGGATGAGGGAAGGACCTGGCCTAACGGCCCCAGGGACTAAAGGCGGAGAACACAGGATAGCACAAAGTCCCAGGGCCTCTGTGATATCAACAGTATCAATGCTCAGCGAGAGAGTCTGTGCCTCTTCTCAGGGATAGCGCTGACGATGGAGCCAGGAAGGCAGGACCTCGCTCCTTGGCCTGGGTTGGCTGGAGCGGGTGAACCACACAGCTCAGAATAAGTGGTCAGTAATTCCCCAAAGCCAGGAAAGCGGCTCTGGGCATCTGGGAGAAAGAAAGGAGCCCGCGGAGCCTGTGAGGTGCGAGGCCTGCAGCTCCCTGGGCTCTTCAGGTCCTGGGGCAGGTCGAGTGATGCTTGAAGGAGAGATGGAAAGGGAAAGGGAAGAGAAGGGAGCAGGAAAGGCAGGAAGAAACAGGGAGCTGGGAGAATGCAGTGCAGAGCAGGGATGCGGGTCAGGGCAGGAGGCTCTCTGGCTTTCGGGATGGCCCGGGGGCCTCAGGGAGTAAAAGGTCAGCGCCTCGGCGGCAGGGTAGGGGTGTGAGAAGCCGTCCACGTGGGGGGCCCTGGGAGCGGGCTTCTAGGGAGGGTTCCCGTTGGCCGAGGGAGGGGCGGTCAGGGCCTTCAGGGGAATGATTGTGCACAAAGGGACCTGGGCAGGGTTTCCTGGAGATGTAGACCTGGGTGGAAGGGGGCTTTGCCGAAGCCATGGGTGATTCTGGCTCAGGTTCCCCTCATCCCCTAAAAATCGCGACACACACACAGGTGATGAAAGTCACACCAGTTTGGGGGAAGCAAGGAAGAGAAATATCTGCCAACCAAAGGGTTAAATAAGCGCCTGGGAGACAGAGGCGGGAGAATATCCAGGCTGAGGCCTCACCTGAGGCTCCCACCTGGCTGGCAAGGCTGCGGGCAGAGAGACAGAAGGGTCTGCCTGCTTCCACACCCGGCGGTGTGGCTCAGGCTCCCCCAGCGCACCCCAGGAGGAGCTGGCTCCTGGGTCTTTCTCCTCTGCTGTCTGGGCATTGGAGGGGTGTGGAGGGATTTGGCCTGCACAGACTGAATGAAGTAGGCCCAGCATCCATCCCAGTTCACATCTCTGGAGCCCCCTGCACCAGGGCAGAGAGCTAAAGAAATACATTCCAGCTGCCCCCACAGAACCTTCATGTCCCCCTGACAGCATAATCCAGCCACCCACGGCTCCAGAGGACTCAGCATGGCTGAGAATACTGTCAGCCCTCTCCACCCTAGAAAAAGCAGAGATGCTTCAGGAAACAGAAAAGCATCTCAAGAGATGCTCAGTTTGACTCCTTTGAGATTTGAGGAAGAGGGTCTATTGCCAAACTAAACAACCCATCCACCAAACTGCACAGAAAAATACCTTAATGACATTTTGTGTGAGGTGTGAAATCTCTCACCCTGCATATTCCCTGTTCTCTTGTATCCACTCCTTCCTTCCTACCAGATTTAGAGCAAACTGTACTTGGGAAGTAGATTTAGTGGTAAAGATCCCACCTGCCAACGCAGGCAACACAGGAGATGTGGGTTTGATGCCGGGGTCAGGAAGATCCCTGGAGGAGGAAATGTAAACCCACTCCAGGATTCTTGCCTGGAAAATCTCATGGACAGAGGAGCCTGGCAGACTACAGTACATGGGGTCAAAAAGAGTCAGACACAACTCAGCAACTGAGCACACACACACTTCAAATGTTTATGAACCACCATTTGTTACTTTACCATGAGTGAAAAATAATTTTTTCTGCATTAAACATTTTGAAATTCTTATAGAAAATAACGAATTTTCATTTAAAAAAAAAAAAAAAGATCAAGTTCTACTAGAAATCACATTTTCTGGAAACTTCCAGATTTTCCCCAGACAGACGGCCTCAGCTTCGAGGTTTGCCATTGGTGTCAACAGCTGAGCCATGTCCTTGAAGCAGCCGTGACTCAGCTGGTTCAAAATTAACTCGAGTGTGAATTCTCCTCTCTGAAGATATGGGAGTCATCCTTGGCAGCTGCCCTGTGATCACTGCGTCACCTCAGTCACATCTGCTCAGGAATGTCGCAAGTCTCCCTGACTCATGGGGGAAGCACAGGCCGCAAACGGTTGAGGAGCTCATGCACGTGGGGTGGGGGGCATGTCACCTGCAGGGTGAGTCAGCAACCTACAGAGGCCTCCATGGAGGATCAGGAAGAAAGAGAGAGAGAGTGGCTGTCCCCGAGAAAATACAGTGGCAAATTTGCTTTATGATTTGCGGGAAACGCTGCTGGTCAGGAGTGAATTGTCATGTTCTTCAACCAAGTAGCTCAAAATGGGAACAGCTGCTGCTTTGGGCAGGCAGAGGTCAAGGCTGTGTGCCCTTGAGCCCTGGGCTGGGCCCAGGCACCGTCTGGGGACTCTTCTGCCCTCCTTGGGCTTGGGTCGGCTCCCACCCCTGCAGTTCCTCCTGCCACGTTCACGGGGTCCCTTGTGACTGCAAAAAAGGGAAGTCTCAGGCAGGAAACCAACTGAGTGTTCTGTGCCCCCTGCCAGGGGCACAGTGACCCTGACCCTATGACCCTGGAAGACAGTCCCTAACTTGCTTTTGCAAATGGCTCACAGGGTCAGGGAGTAGGGCCCCACCCTCTCGGGCCTATTGCAACTCAGAGCTGAGAGAGAGGAGAGTTTGAGCTTTGGTGTTTGGAAGGTCAAGGGTGAACCCAGCTCTGGAGAGGTCTGTCCATTTTGTCGTCATGGTCAGAGTTAAGGGAGGATGTTTGGCACAGCTTAGCTTTCTAATACTCACGCAGAGGAGGGCAACAGGGCAATAGTTCATTGATGGATACAATAGCCCAGTCCTCTGGAGGGTCACCTTCTGAGAATCAGAGGGTCCTTGGTCCTAGCTAGGGAGTCAGGTCCAGCCACTCAGAGCATCTGTTATGTGTCAGTCCCATCCGGCCTCTCTGGGCCCAAAGCTGCTCTGGGGTGGTGGTGGGGTGGACAGGGGGAGCCCAGGAGGGTAGAGGCTGAGCTGTCAGGAGACCCTGGAGGAGGCTCCGGGGCTGAGGGTCATCACCCAGGCTGGGCTTCAGCCCACGCCCATCAGAAGGCAGCTTTTGCCCTGAGCTTTCAAAGTTGAATCCAAAGCTCCCCGATTTGAATTCTTTTCCTTCCGTCCTTCTTTCAAATTCTGGGTTTCTCCACCTTGTCCTTCCACAGCCCAGGGCCTCAGCGTGACTCTCTGACACCTACAGTCTCCTGCTCCTGGTCCTGCACAGGCCCGCCCTTGAATCCCACCTCTGCCTTTCACTCTGTAGTCACGTCTCTCGTGTCCCCTTGCTGGGACAACCTTCTTTCTAAGAGCCCCTTGAATTCTTAGGGTCATGACCTCTGATCCTTTCCCAACAGTGCACACAAATCAAAACATGAAACAAAGCGACTTCCCGGCACTCCAGTGGTTATGACTTCGCCTTCTACTGTGGGCGGTTCAGGTTCGATCCCTGGTTGGGGATCTAAGATCCCACGTGCCAAAAAACCAGAGCATACAGCAGAAGCATTGCTGCAACAAATTCAGTAAAGTCTGTTTTTAAAAGGTTTAAAAAAAAAACATAAAACAAAGACACAATTTTAGGACATTGAAGGCACCCTGAATCTAGGTTAGGTACCCCTGGATGCATTAACCTTTACCCATATATGTAGGGTTTCCCAAATGGAACCCATCTGCCAATTCAGGACACTTAATAAGAGATGTGAGTTTGATCTATGGTTCAGGAAGATCCCCTGGAGGAGGGCATGGCTATCAACTCCAGTGTTCTTGCCTGGAGAATCCTATGGACAGAGGAGCCTGGCAGGCTACAGTCCATGGGGTCATAAAGAGTTGGAACAACTGAAGAGACTTAGTGTGGGCATGCGCATGCGTGCACACACACACACACACACACACACACACACACACATGCACACATACCGTATACATAACTTCCCACATGCATGCTGAGCTTTCTAGCAGCAAGTATGAAATGAGCCCTCATCAGGAAGGATCTTTCTTGAGCCTGACATATTTTTTTGAGAACCTACTGAAAGCCTTGGATTTTTTTCTCCCATAAAATGCATATATCCAAATACATCTAAATTTTAGCTCTCCTTTTCAGAAATTTCATACTTCTCCTGCAACCCATTCATGAGAATTTAGCTCTGTTTTCTAACGATATTTGATCAATTCTGAGCCTAAGCACCCCCTCCCCTGATGCCCCAGTTGGGATGATTCCTCCTCCGTGGGATTTCTCCTGAATCCACAGCTGGAAATCCTCTCTTCTTCCTTGGGTTTCCACACTCATTCTGTGGCTCTTCACCCTGTGACCACCCCCCCAGGGGTAAAGGCTATGGGTTTCCAGTACCTCTTGCCATGGCACCTAGATATATGGTCAACATTTCATTTTTTCATTCATTCTGTTTTTGAATGAGGTTCAGGGAATGAGCGATTATGGTTTTCTTCTTTAGTACATTGAACATTTGGATCTCTCCCACCCAAAGGTTAAAATAGGCTGAGCAGAACACACCTTGGCTGGATTTAAGTTTGTTTATTGGGTCAGAAATGTATCCAAATTAGGAGATAAGACTTGGTATGAGGAGACACCAAAAAGACTGAGAATTTTTCATCTATGAAGATGATGACTGAAAGGGCATGTATGTAATACCAAGGAAATGATGAAAGCTAACAATAATGCATACTGGGATTTGCTTACCAGAGTTGAAAATATTGAAATTAAGGTGGTCTGCAAAAAATGGATACAGACAGCATCTTATACTGGCGTTAACAGTAACTTGAGTAGCGGGGAGGGAAACTGGGCTGTCATTATCCTGAGACTGTGTCAGTTATAAGACGTAAACAGGCCCAAGAAAGGTCAAGCAATTGCTACAAGAAGTTAAAGAAGACCTAAATAAATGGAAAGGCACCCTGCATTCATGAGTGGGGGCGCTTAATATGGTTGAGCTGTCAACACTACCCAAAGCAATGTGGAAACAATCCAAATGTCCATCAACAAATAACTAGATGAGT